GATCACCGCGGTCGCGGTTTTGCCAGCGTTGCTTACAAAGGGACAAGAGAAGAAAATGGGGACTTTAGAAATGTCGGAAGACGCACTGTTGTTTCTGAGTGGAGTTTCACTGTAAAGCTAGAGAGTTCTCCGAGAGGCAAATATAGTTATTTAGTAAAATTGATGTTAAGACAAATAGGGGACTGATCTGTCACGAAACATAGAATTTACATATAAGTATTTTTGTTTCTTTGGAAATAAATTTAGTATTGTACAGATTAGAATTATTTATTATTCCTGATTGTTTTGAAAAGAGGAGAAGTGGATATTTGATGCGATAAAGCAAATATATGAGAAATATATAATAATAAATAATAATAATAATAATAATAATAATAATAATAATAATAATAATAATAATAATAATAATGAAAATAGCTCGTACAAATTCCACTCCCCATATATGACAGAACCACACCATGCTTCTCTTCAATATTCAAGTCTCCTGCAACTCCCCTGCAACGTCATACACCCGTTTGAAGATGTGCAGTTAGACCAGGATATCAGTCATAGTTCCATAATGTCCCCTCGGAACGACTGCCTCTTGAACAACGATATTGCGTGTATAAGAACGTTGTGGCTACTCCCATCCCACGAACGATTCTCGCGTACCTGCAGCATTGAGAGACGGGTACTCAGCAAAAGCACTGGCAGACGCATCTGGCCATGGAGGCGATTCCTACGTGAGGCAAATCGATGATGAAGTCGTATAAAGCGGCACTAATAGCGGCGTTCACTGCTTGGATGATCGTAATGAAGCATGGCATCCAGCATATCATGCGTCGCAATAAGCGCCATTACCATCTTCCCGAATTTCTGGCTCAATTTTTTGGGTTGGGAATGATGTTTGGCGCTATTCATTAGTTATGGCTCGCAAGAACGCGACTATTCCTCATCCAATGCAACGATTCGGACAAAGAGCATTTATGATAATTCCACGTCAAACGTGGAAAATGATCACCAGCAATGGAATAGGTGCGATATCTGGAATTCCGATAACTGATGGTATAACCATTGAAGCACACTTTTAAGTCACATTGCGAGCCAACGGATCTGATCTTAAGAGAAGATAAAAAAAAAGTATAATAATTTAATTATTTTAGAAAATGCTCATTATTCTCGTGTGTGTGCTTATTATTAAAAAAATAGGAAGGTAAATGTGTGGATGAAGTAATTTCATGATTTGCAATTATACCCCTTTTCGGCAAGGTAATCTGGAGGAGATTAATTGGGGTTCTCAAATTAAGTGGTTAATAAGGGGCAATTTTAAAATAGTTTCATCGCATAGTTAGCATTTATTATTACTTCGTTTTGACTTTTATTAGCATCACTGGAATTAATATGATAAATTATATCAAGATATCTAATCGATATCTAATAGATAATCGAGTATTATTTATTTTACGTCTTCAATGAAAGTACTCTATTCTGAAAACGATTGTTTTAACTGATTCGAATTCAGGCGAACTTCCGTGTCACAGAGTTTGCATCAAAGACCATTTTTTTGCGTAACTTACGGTTCCGCACGTTCGGTTGCAATTAGCTTTGCATTCCCGCCGCAGCAAAGGCCAACTAGAACATCCACCGGCTCGCGGGACCGGATCTGCAAGTCTTAACGCGCCGGGGTGGGCCAGAAGCCGCACAAGCGCCGCTACAGCTGCAATTAAACGCCCGGGCAAACAGCACCTTAGTCTGCTCCTACTTAAAACCCTTGCGGAATTTAAATTAGGAAATCTTTGCTCTATGTACTTACGTTCAATTTACAGAGCATCGTTCTTGGATCGAAACTGCCTTCGAAGTTCATGTCAAACTACAGATTTCTAACGAGTGGATTCTCTTAAATTAGAAGGAGCCGCTTGTGTACTTTGTGGAATATTTTTTTTAATGTAAGGTTAATATTTTTAAAATATACCTAATAGTTAACACATAATTGGAATGCGTAATTTTCTTTACGGTGAATAAACGAATAAGTTTGGCAAATAACAAATTTAGGTTTTAATAATTACCAGCGTAGTTTGGGGATCAAATACAGTAAGTAATGAGTTGTTATTTTTTGTGGAAAAGAAAAGAAATGTGGAGATTATCGTTTACATAATATTTTATAGTAAGCATTTCAGCAATATTATTTCATACTGACATCCTTTGAAAAGTATTTTCAGTATATTTTGAACTGTAGAGATCCAAGGCACGAGAAGTGCTATTGCTACACAACTACACATATATTTGGCGAAGAATATCAAACGAATAAAGAATAAAGAGAAATTGCGATTCTTCCAACTACTTTGTATAAAATGAACTCGGATATAATGAACTTTCAGTTATAGTGAACCAAAGTTACTGTTACCGATCCACGTGCATTACAAATGTACACTAAGTAATACGTTTCAGTGCCCTTTCCACTTAGATAATAGTGGGAGCATGAAACAAAACATCTTTCAGGTAAAGTAATTCACAGCAGGACAATGAATTGAAATGAACTAAGGGCTTGCGGAAGCTCGTGGCTCACTCTTAATTAACATGCTCGTTTTTCACTAAGCACCCCCGGGTTCGATTCCCGGTCGAGCCAAGATTAGTGTGAGTTTTTCTTGCAATGTCCAATATGCAATAAATATGTTGCTGTGAGATGATGAGAAAATTTACTTCTCAAATTGAGAAGATCGGAATACGATGTAGAGATGTCTACGTGCTAACCACACGTACCGCCTTAACCCATCACCGCGAGGTAGGGACGTCGCCGGTAGTCTGAGCCCGTTCACGGGTTGTCGCGCAAAGTACGTACATTCATACATACATACATTCGTACATACATACAAGGGATTGCGGAGGAAATAATGAGTTATTTCTTTAACAACTATGGCGACTTAAAGGGTTCTGTGCGATCGAGCCATTCAGTAAATTCTTTCAAATGCGATTCTGCCAATCTTGAAGATTCGTCGACGCGGACTGAGAGATAAAAGCCACTGAAACCTCATCCGGCTAGGACATCGTAAATGATGAAAAATCATCTTCATGAATAAAAGGATACAAGGGTGATGACGAAGAGAATAGAAATGAAGTGTTTCAACAGTGCAATATAACATCACGTTCATGTACGACCGTTTTGGCAAATATAAAGCAATGTTGAAAGCAATGTTTATATTTTATGTTCCATTGTACATCAACACTTTCACAATTAAATTACGCACTATTTAAAATTATTCACGAAAGTCAATCGTGTTGTATCTATTGGTCGCAAATGACACAAAATAATTTCGTTTTCAACTTCGAAACGATAAAAATTGGATGCTGATATGAAGGAATCATTGAATGTACTTCATGATAAATAAAAGCATAAAAATATTAAAAATAAAGTAACATTAAAGGAACGTTCTACAAAAAGGTGAGTAATAAGAGGATATTTGAATTCAATCTTCTAAATTGACAGTTTAAATTTATTTTTAAATTGTTTCTAAACTAGACAAATACTGGGCAGATTGCTATGAAAATTTAGTTCTCTAAGGTGTAGAACATTTTAAGAGAACTAAGGAGAACATTTTTAAACATATCATGTAAGACAAAATATGGAAATACTTATTGACATGGGATTTGAGTAAAGGAAATACAATCGAAGGCCTCAACCATGCTCAAGTTGTATTATAACCATGGCATATTATGTGGGTTTAGAAATCACCCGTTTTCATGTGATTCATGCTCACGAAGTGATTCAGACAACCAGAAAAATTAAGAGTAAAAACAGCTCTGAGAGTCATGAAAGCTAAACGAGATATTTCCGTCTGACATCACGTCTGGAGAAAGACTGAATATTTCCGCATGTCATGGCCATGGAACACTTAGTAAGCCCCACGGAATTTCCATTTTTATTCCGACGTGTCAAGAATAGAGGCGAAAAAACATATGTATACTTCTATCAATTCCCTTTCTTGTCATTAATATCCAAACGTAAATGGAGTTCTTCGTTAATTTAAAACACGTAACTTCGGTTTGAGTAACGAACAGTTTTTAGAGTTTCGCTAGGCTTCACTTATCTAACTCGAGCGATTCATTTGATTACTCAACCGTAAATCTTATATTCGCACAAGTGAATGCCGTTAATCAATCTTCAACTTAATATGTGGTTCCATGGTAACATTCCATATCCATCTTCTTAGACTGCATATAGAATTCCTACAAAGATTGTGAATTTTCTCCAGAGAGGGAGACATGCATAACTCCATGAGGAGACGAATCATAAAATTGATGAATGGAACTTGAGAATCTTGGAAGTCACATAATCCGAATGAAACCTCAGAATACTCTCGAGTATCTATTCTTGTCCAATTTTCTTCCTTTATTCGTTGATATGGATAATTCAGTTAGAAATCTCAATTGATGCACACGATGATACAAAATCACTGACAAAGAAGTAAATGTTTTTTCAACAGTAGGGAATATCAAACCCTCTAGGGTTGATCTTCGGAATCCTCTGCGCACACACACACACACACACACACACACACACACACACACACACACACACACACACACTAATTGACACCTGTCGCAACACTCCGATCATACGTCATAAATTGCGGAATGACCTCTTCGCAACTGCCCAAACGGATTCTCTCCATGTTCGGCGGTGGACGTGGCTGAAAGAAACGTTGCACAGAGCGGGACCGCCATGAAAACAGCAGTGTCGACTGATTCGGCTGCAATAGCAACGAGGCCGGGAGGCAGAGGTATTCGACATCGCCCATCGTCCAAACATCAAAATAGGCAAAATACAATAGAAACGATCAAACAAATTAACAAAAAAAGTTTGTTTGGATAACACAAAAATAATATTTATGACAAGAAACTATTAATAAGTAAAGGTTTCTTATTTATTTATTTATTTATTTATTTATTTATTTATTTATTTATTTATTTATTTATTTATTTA